GGTGAATTATATTTGATTTACATATTTTTTTGACTTGTCTCAGTAAAGGCGAGGATCTGATTACTGTCGTCATCATAATATCAAATTAAACCTGTGAATTTCTGTAGAAACATTTATGGAAAGTATATAAGCATATAAACCTACAGGTAAGAGCCAAAAATCTCGAAAAATAGCTTCAACATCTCTGGCCGTGAACGCTCAGATTCTCTGAAGTGTAAACTCCAACCGTGTAATAAAACAAAATTCAATACAATTAAAATTATATTTATCTCTTCGATTAAATTTTCTCTTTATCAAATAACTTCCCTCATAGAATCTCAAAAAATACAATATTTTTACTCAAATAATGCTCAACAAAAACATGATATATACTGCACATCTTCTATCGATAAGAAATACTGCCAAATTGAAATATATCCTTTGAAACACTGGTGTTCTTACAATGACGTAGGTACTAGGATAACTTGAGATGGTAATTATTGAAATTACTGGGACTAAAGTTCACATGAATCAAATCGACCTACCCTAGCCGCCGTTCATTTGTTTTTCTAACCTAACTTTCAAGCTTAGCTTCTCCTCTCTCAGCTCGGCCAGTTCCTGGCTTAGTTCTTGGCAAATCCTCAGCAGCACCGTATTTTCGTCCTGCAACTGCTTGAAAAGTTGCCATTTGGCCTTTTCCTCAGCAGATACGGGACTGTCCTTCTCTTTAACTTGTGGCTTTCGATAGACCTCAAAAGCCCCGTGCTTTTGAGGAGGTGCATCTTCATTCTCTGGAGCCGAAAGCTGGGCAAACAGTTTCTTCCTTTGAGCTTCATAAATGTCCCCACGAAAAATCCCCTCAGAGACGTTTTCGTACTTCTCGAACTGGTCAAAGTCGGCGAAAGTTTCGATTTGAGATACACAGTCTCCCTCAGATCTTTGATTGATAAGCTTCTTGGCGCCCTGTATGTTCGGGCTGATCCTGGGAGGCACTATAGGGGGCGCTCCCAGTTTGGTCAGCCTGTTCAAGTCCAGGGAAGAACTGCGCCCATGCGTTTTGAACGGTCTAGGTGGAGGGGGAGGAGGTTTTTCTTTTTTGGGAGGAGGGAACGCGGGAAGACTTATAGGACCTTCTTCGGCGCTGTTCTGATTTGTGGGAGGGGGCGGTATGGCTCCCCGGCCCGGAATACTGATCTTCTTCGGCTGCGGTCGCTGTATCGCGCTATTCTGCGCATTAACGCACAAACTCTGCGTGTTCTGTGCAAGCGAAACTGTAGAAGCGTCGATAAACTTCTTGGGGCTGTGCAGGTCGATGCTGTCCGTCTGATCTTCAATTTGGGCGTTGGATACTTCAGGGGTAAGGCGTAAAGGTACGGGGTGCAATATTTTCGGATCTTTGTCCAGGGTGACCTTCTGGAAGTCAAAATTGACAGGTTTCGGTCCCGGGGAAGATACCGAGCTGGTGGGGCTATCTATGAACTTCGTCCATTCTTTCGCGGTGTCTTTCGTTTGGGGTGATAAGATAGGTTCTGTTTCGGGACTGCCGGATACTGGAGTTTCGTTTCCTGGGGCCAAAGAGGGAGGCAGGACTTCCGGCAACTCGATGTGATTTCTCCTCAGAACCACGAGGTGCATAGCCGTGTTGAACTCTTGTAGCGATAAGGCGCCGTCTTTGGTTACATCGGCTAGTTGCCATATTTTTCTGAGTTCGTGAATGGGGAGCCTGGATTTCTCGAAGAACATTCTCGCTACAGGGCCGGCTAGTAAGGCATTGGTATCCGGCTGGAGGGATCTGAACTGATTGGTGTAATACTCTCTCTGTTCGGCCGTTATAGTCCAGACCTCGTTAGAAACCTCGGTGTCCTCTTCGCTGCTATGTTTTTCTGATGATTCTTCTTCAGTACCTGCGAATGGAAATTTACTTTTTAATAAATTAATGAAATTTGAATTTTTTATTCAAGATGGAAAAAAATACCGGTATATTGATATGCCAAAAATAGGTTTGTAACTTTTTTCTTTTTGAAGTACAATATTGACCACGTTTACAGTGCAACTTAAAGGAGGACTTCCAACAACCGATGTTACTAAAACCACCGTTAATTTCCATGTAAACACCATTTTTGTCGATGAATTTAGTGACATGAAAATTTCCTGTATCAGTAAGTGAACTTTCTTTTAAAATTATGTCCAATTTAACTATAGTAAGACCTTACTGCTTATCTAACTTATTATTAAAAATGCAAGTGATGGGTGAAATTAGATGAAAAAAGATTTAGGTTCATCAAATATTTTCCCATTAAGTATAACCTACATGACAATAATAATAATACTTTATTTTCATAAACACAATACAAAGTTGTATAGGAAACTGTCAACACAATAAAATAAAGATANATATTTAATGTTATATTGGGTTTATTAAAGTAGATAGGACTTTGTGATTTTGTAGATAGCTAGAGAATACAAAGAGCTTTCCAACAGTACCAATATCACAAAACTGTAAATTTTGCAGTTAGGACAATTACTCTTAGGACGGCAGAATAGTGTGAGTCAATAAATGGTGTTTCTTTATATGCAGGTTTATGAACAGGATATGTATTTTTCAGAATACACAAATGTTTCAGAAATGTAATTGATAACTTAACTGATCCATCCACCCATCTCTTTTAATCTTTACAGTAGAACGTTTTTTAGCAAAATTCATATTGAAGTGATAATGTATCATATCACATAGAAAACGTTGAAAGCCTCATTGAAATCGTCTATGCCAACGATACATTCCCAATTTTCCGGTATCAATTTTTTTTCGAAATATATAATGTTATTTTCACTGAAATCTCTTTTCTTACTGGAAAAATGCCAAATATATGCAAACATGTTTGAGAGTATTGAAAAGTAATGATGTGTAAGCTTTCAGTCGGTGTCTAACAAATCGTCCAATGTTTCTGGGTTTATTAGCCGTGGTCTTCAGGTTTCTATACCTGACATTTCTGCAACACACTCTCTCAGACAGCAGGCATAAGAGAGCGTGTCCTGCAACATGCTCTCTCAGAGGGCAGTCATAACACTGCCTTTGAACGCATGCAAGTTCTTTATCACTTCGAACGTTGCTGCATTGTCTTCGATAATGTCTGCCGCAGTAGCAGACGAAACGTCAGACCACGGCTAATAAACCCGGAAACATCGAACAATTTCATTGAAAACTAAGTTTATAATTCATAAGAAAAAGTAAAATAGGAATTCCTGGGTATCTGCATATTCAATTTTTTCCTCAAGACTACAAATGTCAAAATAATATGATCCCAGAAAGTACGAAGCATTTCCTCAGTTTTCCATTTTATAGGAAAAATGAGCTCAAATGTCCGTCAGGTCATATATCAAAACGAACAGCTAGTCAAATGTGTTGTGGCAGTGATGGTAGTTGGGGATGAGTTTTATAAAGGTAGAGGTGTAGTTAAGCTTCATCCAAGTAAATACTTTCCAGATGGTGCATGTTGGAACCCCGGTTGTTATAACAATAGATGTTATATGTTCGTGTAAACGTGGTCAATGTATTTCAAACATATAGTGAGAATCTTGGAATCAGTGACACAAATTCAAATATTTTCGATACTTTCAAAGTAACAGTGTTAACTTTGAGACTTTTAATATTTATTTCATTATTTCTTACCGCTAACAATTTTATCAGTAAGAGGTACTCATAAAAAGTAACAATCTTATTCAGTAACAATCAAAATACTACACTTGACCAAATAATAAATTCCAGGTATTCACACAAGTTGAAGTTACAAGATTTGTGCATACCTATTCATTATTATGTAAATATTTTTAAGTTAAAACTTTATAACAATACCAACTGTATATAAATAAAATCATTTTTTATCAAATATCCAAACGCATGCCACTGCAGGTAATGTAACGACAAGATAAGGATCTACACCTACTCAAATAAACACCTCACCTATTTTAAGTATTTTTAAGGTGCACTTATTATTTTTTCATAAACAAGGGTTTGTTATGTTGATTATCAATAAGTAAAAATGTCGAAGACTACATAACGTTGTAATTTAAAGATGAAAAACATAGAGACCGACTAATTATAATAACGTTTTCTTTATTTTTTTCTCAAAACATAATCCTTGTAAGGAAGTTTCGGATTCGGTTTCGAACAAAACTGAGACCGTTGCCGAAATTCGTTTTCAGTTTCGGTCGTAAAAACCAGTTTCGGTCGGACACTACTTTTTACTATTAAGAAACACAGTATGAATGTGTTATCCACATGGAATTCAGTTCAATTTCTGATACTTTTCTGTTATTTCATTAACTTGATTGGCCCTAAATTTTGTATGTCTCTGGATATTAGAATAAATCCTACCAGACAAAAATATATTCAGTCAATACCTAGCAACTGTCTCTGTTCTTCGGATAGAAGTCCCTGCCACACTCCTGGTACTACCCAGCTCCTATCCTGCACACTGTTTGTAGGTGTGGGACTGTCCGAAGCGGCGCTAGATGCACTTGGAGAACCATTTCTCACCGTTTCACTGTCCACTTCAGAATCTGTGCTAGCAGTATCAACCTGAAAAACAATACAAAAAAATCATTTTACTGTGATGTAGCGTATGAAATGACATTGAATATAGGATTTTATACTATTCACTCACTTCCTCACAAAGTTATAATACAAAACACACTATTTATACAAGACTGAGATAAAATGTATGGGTAAAGTGGCCATTGGCCCTAATTGAACACATGAGGTTTGTTCAAAGAATATGATGAATGTTCAAATTTCACGGGCAACGTACAGTTGTCTCGAACATATGTTCACAGTTTCAGTTGTTTAGCATGTTTAGTTTGTTGGTGAGAGGTATAAAAGTGTTCAAATCAAAATATACTTTATTGTCCGAAGATTTGCATCTTATTGAGAAAGTCCAAGAAATACAATGTTGATATAAAAAAAGTACTAAAAAAGTATAAATGTAAATATAAAAAAGTTCCAAAAATGAATAAATGTAAATATTAAAAAAAGTTCTAAAAATTTATAGATAAAATACCACCATGTATAAAGTGATGGTACAATAGTAGTAAAAATATAAGCAATATATTACTAAAAGGATTCGCTAAAATACTCTTCCAAACTATAATAGTGTCTACCCACAAGTAGGTTCTTCACCGCCTTTTTGAAATGAACGTTGCTTAAATTTACAGATCTCATTTCTAATGGTAAATGATTGAACAATTTACCACCATTGTAGTATATGGAATCCTTGATTAAATTTGAAGTTGGGATGGGAAGTCTAAAGGTATAATTGCTATTGCGAGTAGCATAAAGAGTAGAAGCAAAGTTGAACTTCGATTTTTGTTTATAAATAAGGCAAACTGTCTCTAAGATAAAAAGTGCGATGACTGTTAACATTTTATTGGCAGTAAACAAATTCCTGCACGATTCTCTGGGTTTAACTTTACAGAGACATCTTAGTGCCCTCTTCTGTAATATCAATACAGAAGAGAGGAGGGATGAGTTGCATGCTCCCCAAAAAGGTATTCCATAACATAGTCGAGATTCAACAAGTCCATGCGACATGGAAACCCAACTCATTTGAAACCACTCTAACTGCATAACATCCGGAGGAGATCTTACTCTTGAGTTGTTTAAGGTGCTCATCAAATTTCAGCCTATTATCAATGAATACATCGAGAAACTTTGTGTTTAATTTATTTTGTAATACGTCAGCGTCTATTGAAATGTCATCAAGAGAACATTTGAATGATATTATATTCGTTTTGGATGCATTTAGAGAGAGTAAATTTGCATCACACCAGCTCTTCACCTTCTTCAAGTCAGATGATATTATTTTATTTAGCTTCATTGAATTTTTTTCTTTCCACAATATTGTAGTATCATCCGCGAATAGAGTGAAACTACCAGATATATTAATCATAGATATGTCATTCATATATAACAGAAACAAAATAGGGCCTAACACAGAACCCTGTGGTACACCAGATTCAATGGCCCTGTTCTCCGAGAGTTCCGTTGTCCTCACCATTTGACTCCGACCTGAAAGGTACGATTCGAACCGAGTGTTCGTTACACCTCTACATCCATATTTATGAAGTTTTTTTAATAAAATTTTATGATTAACGCAATCAAACGCCTTTGAAATATCGAAAAAAATTGCAGCGGCTACTTCACCAGCATTCAATTCAGAGTAAATTTCATATAAAGAAGAGAAGATAGCATCATTTTTATCTTTTTTTCTCTTGAAACCCAAACTGGTTTTTGCTTATAACACAGTGCAGTTTTAAGAATTCATCTAAACGTACTTTGACTAATTTCTCAATAATTTTTGCTAAAGTCGGTATTAAGGAAATAGGACGCAGATTGGAGGGATTATCTAAATCACCACCTTTATGTAGTGGAATGACAACGGAAGTCTTCAGGGAAGAAGGAAATGAGCCAGTTCTGAATGAGGTATTAATAAGGGCGACCAAAGTTTCTAGAGCATTGGTAGAGCAGTGGTAAATTCAAGAGAATCTTAACGGAAATATCATCATATCCGGCCGTGTTTTTATTTTTAATGTCATGAAGTGTTTTGAAGAATTCATTAAGGTCAGTGTCATATAAAATAAGACTATCATGAATTTTTATATTTTCTAAGTTGATCAATGGATCATATGGAGCATGAATTGTGTTACTCAACTGTTCAGCAATAGAACAGTAGAACTCATTTATGATATTAGGATTAAGTGAGAGTTCAGAGTTTTTCTTTATTGTTTTACCTCTTATATCACTAATAATTGACCAAGTTTCTTTAATTTTATTCTTCGATTCCCCCATTCTGTTGCCGTAATATAGTCTCTTAGCTTGACTGATAGTGGAACAATATACTTTTTTGTAATTATTGAAATAGTTCCAGAAAAATGTTTCATTCGTGAATTTTCTGTGTGTTCGACGATTTTCTGCTTTCGAAAAAATGGCTCAAAGAATTTGGATCAAATTTTGTGTAAAAAATGGAATTAAGTGCCCAAAAACACTTGCAATGTTGCCAGACCCATACGGTGACTGTACTCTGAGTCAGAAAAATGTTTACAAATGATAATAAGCTTCTCACAGAGGGTCAAAAAGATGTGAAAATGACGATGTTCGCCCTGGACGCCCCAGCATATCAATAACCAATGAAAATGTTGCGAAAGTGAAGAAAATAGTTATGGAGAATCATCAAATCACTATTAGAGAAGTTGCTGATGATTTCTGTATATTGGTTGGCTTAAGCCGTACATTTTTTGTAAATTTTGGACTCTACTCTATGGTTATAATGATAATAAAAATATTTATTTGACTACGTTACATAATACAATATGTCTGTAGCAAGTCATGTTTGGCTTTACATTTGAAATTCACAAGTTAAAATTTATAAGCATACAACAACAATCACATATGTAAAAACTTTGAAAATCAAAAAGAAGTAGTAACTTGTGTGTCACCACAAAAATGTGTTCTGAAGTCATCGACAGAATAGAAGCAATGCCTCAACAAATAATTTTTCAATTTTCTCTTGTAAGTGTTCAGACTGAGTTTTTTGAAATCTTGGGGCAAAATATTGTACAGAGAGTAATCTATGGAATATTTTTGCGATAAGTGAAGACAAAATAGATTTATTCTAATGTGGTGAGCGTTTCGTGTGTTATGTTTGTGAATATGACATTGTTTTTCCAAGGATGGTTTCTTCTTATGGATTTCAATCAAAACCTAATAAAGAAATAAAGTTTTTGAAATATTCTTGGCAGTGATCCCTGCATCCAATATTAGCCAGCACTGTCAATACCTTTTTTTGCATCCTAAATATTTGAATGAAATGACATGAATTTCCCCAAAGTTGTACAACATAACTAATATGAGAGTGAAACTATGAAAATAAGGTTTTTTCAATTGGTGAAGAACAAACAGAGAACCCGAGAGTTTTCTCTTCGGTTGAGAAATATGTGCAGACCAGTTGAGTCTATTATCTAATGTAATGCCCAGTAATTTAACTTTATTAGTTTCACAATTAGAGATAATTTGATTATAGCGTAAATCTGGATTTATTGTGTTTTCTGACAATTTAGTTTCAGCTTATTAGATAGAAACCACTGATTAGCACTATTAGATACCTCGTCGATATGAGACTGTAACATATCATTATTTTTATCCGACAGAATGAAAGCGGTGTCGTCCGCAAAGAGAACTGATTTGAACGGCATCATATATTTGCATAAGTCATTGACATAAATGACAAATAAGAGCGGCAAATTTTGACAAATTTCTAATATGTCGCGTACGACAAAATATGTCAGTCTTCATGCAATAGTACAAAAGTCAATAGAGAATCTGCTGAAGTGTTGTGAAGGACAAACTGAAAATTTACTGCGTAATATAAATTACTGAAGAGTCCAATTAGTCAGTAACTTGTCGTATTCTAAAGTTTGCTGTCTTGAAGGTCTAATTTTGAATTGTATCAGAAGAATTCAGAATTATCACAGTTTAGGACGAGATTTTTATAGTGAATTTCAAATTTTGAAAACGGAAAAGGATTGTTTTCCCAAATGTCAACCATTTGAGAAAGGTAAGTATCAATATTTAATTTTTCCAACTTGTAGGCAAGTTACTGACTAATTGGACTTTTCAGTAGTTTATATTACGCAGTAACTTTTCAGTTTGCCCTTTACTACACTTCAGCAGATTCTCTACTGATTTAGCTTTTATTTTTTCAGATTGTGGAAGGTTATAAACCCAAAAAAAAAACAGTATAAAAAATATTGTTTGATGGTCAATGTCAAAGATTGCCCTTGCATTTATTCCCTTCATCTTTGATATTCGTGGCTCAAGTCTAATATTAATCCCACAGATGGCAATTTAGCAACAGGAGATGTTATGGTCCATACAGTTTTTTCTGTCATCAATATAGTTTTTCATTACCAATTCATTTTTTGTAGTGACATTGATGAAAGCTCAGTTTAATTAACCCTAAAGTGATACATCATATGATGAAGTAAAATTTCCATTCAAGGCAATTTGTTATTTTATGAAATGATATTGGATGACCATTCGTTGCGACTCTGCAAGAATTAGAGAATTCAGACATTGCTGACGTCTATCTGTTCTTCAAAAAATGTTATACAGATTGAATAATTTTTGTAACTGAATTTTCCTTCGTTGGGCGAATGTTCATCATAAGAGTGGTTGTTTTACCTCAATCTCCCCTACTCACTTGTTCCGTATAGTTATTCAGATCATGTCGTAATTCAATCAGATCTTGTACAGGACTCGTATTTTCTATGATGGTCCATGTAAATCGAGGAAGAGGGAGATCAACTTTTGAAGTAACTACGTCACTCCTGACGGGAATATTGGCCTGGTAAGCTGCTACTAATTTCAAAGCAGAAAAAAATTGTTTCTTGTTGAGATGACTCGTGTTTGGGGTCCAACAGATTTCTGAAATCTAGTGAAATGGTTTGTTAATAAAGGTTACATATTTATTTAAACACACATCTGACTGAACTGTGTCAACAAAGCATAATACTAGCAATATAATTTTATTAACAATAATTTACAATTATATCTCATGCTAGCAAAGACAAACATGACACGAATTTCATATGAAAACTGTCAGTACTGTCATCAAGACATGTTTTTGTGGAATAAATGAATGAATCATAATTAAAATGAAATCAATTGAAAAACCAAGTAATCTGAAGATGACTTGTGATAGAAACATACATTTTGTAGACTGAGTTTTTTGTCTTCAATAACTAGAACAGTGCTGTATGTATTTATGTACTGATTCCAACAAAGATGACATGGTCAACAAAGGGACATTAATCAATTTGAAACATGATTTCGAATTCCCATAGAATTTTCAATTTTCGTAGTAATCAAAATTATGAGAAATATGCAGAAAAATTGTTCTGTCAATAGAGTGTTGTTTCAATCAAAGTAATAGATCACCAGACAAATTTTACCTGTGAAATGACGTCTTCAGGCACAGTCCCTGACTCTATTAGTTCAATAGTTTTGCTTACTGTAGCTTTACCGGATTTTTCTTCATCGCAACATAAAAAAACATCGGAAAAATATCTTTGCAGAGTATCTGACAGATGTAAATCTTCCATTTTTTCAAAATAAATATGTGACAGTACTCATAACCTGTTAATTTTGACTTTTAATGTGTCCGGTGTTTCAGCGTTGCCAAAATGCCATGGAGCCCAGAGCGTGCCCCAAATGATATTTTGACTTTTCTTTTGTTATCGAGTTACACTAAATTTTGTAACAGTTCTTTAAAAACGTAAAAGGTTCATAGTAATTATTTTTTTTATGATGCCGACTTCAAACTAGGATTTATGTTTTTCCGACATCTAGCTTGGAAATTTTGATTTTAAACTTTACTGAGTTTCAATTATAGACAATGGTGCTATGAATTTTTCCCTTCCAAACCCTGGGGACCAAGTTCCCGCTGACGTGAGACGTTTTTTCTTTTGAAACACGGGACGAGATCTGGTGCTTTTGTTTCAATCTACGTGCAATAAAATATCTAGAAGCGCCTTTCCTATTTAGCTACTGAGTGTGCCAAACATGTATCTATCCTTCATTGTCGATTTTATGGATGAGAGGGGTAGAGCATTGAAATCGGGTTGCTTACTGAGGACCAGAGAACAGTAGCGTGACAAGATTCAATTATAATCTTTCTTTATTAGTGATGAAATGATACTCAGAGAAGTGTTAATATACTTAACGTTCTTTCTCAAAAAACCTTTTCACGCCTCTGTCTTCTACCCTCAATAAACAAGCAACCACTTATGCCACTGGTCCATGCGAATGAATAGAATTAAAAGCTTTTTCTCTTTTCCCATCCTTGTCATCAGTTTTACACACTGAAAAAGTATGTCTCAAAAAATGTGGGCATAAGCATTTGCTTCTTGGGAAAGAAAGTTTTTGGCTCGATACGAAAAAATGTAGGATTCTTCTTTCCCAAAAATTAATCCTAAAAATATAAACCTTTCAATTTAAACATTTGCTTCTGTTTCATTTATATGGCTCTCTATGTCCTGACCCTCGATAAACAAGAGTATATTTTCTAGTTCCACTCAAAATAAGAAGAGAAAGCATATTGAACTTATTGTTTTGAGTTTTCAATGGTATTGAGCCTGGTTCATGTCGCTTGAAAGGGCGTCAACTCGAATACAGCTTCTATGGAAAAATGTCGAAATCATGACATTTGACATTATAGTCATTGACAGATGTTTAAAAAGAGCGGGTGACGGTTTAATGTCTGTCAAATTAAAGCGTTTGTATCTCTATATTTTGATGCCATAAAATATTTTTATTCAGCTTTTAAGATGTATATAAAGTCCATTGTATTAGATGGATTCAAATCTTATGGACAAAGGACAGAGATCAATGGTTTTGATGATCAATTTAATGCAATCACTGGCTTAAATGGTAGTGGAAAATCAAATATACTGGACTCGATCTGTTTTGTTTTGGGAATATCCAACCTCACTCATGTAAACATTGGATAACAGAAAACTTTCCTTGAATTTAACATAATATTCGTTTTTAGGTGAGAGCTGCTAGTTTACAGGATTTGATATACAAATGTGGACAAGCAGGTGTGAATAAAGCCACTGTTTCTATCACTTTCGATAACAGCAACCCTTCACAATGTCCTCCTGGATTCGAACAGTACAAAGAAATTACTGTCACAAGGCAAATTGTGATGGGAGGAAAAAATAAGTATATGATAAATGGAACAAATGTTCCTAATAAAAAGGTCCAGGATCTTTTCTGTTCAATTCAGTTGAATGTCAATAATCCGCATTTCTTGATTATGCAGGGGAAAATTACCAAAGTGTTGAATATGAAAGCTCCAGAGGTAAATTTTACACTAGGTAACTTAGGCAAACTACGGTTATGCTTATTGTGAATTTCTATGCTGTGTAACATACTGATTTCTCCCTTTTTTCAATTATTTATTAAAAACTTACTTAAGTCAGTCAACTTATCATAGGCATTCAAAATCAAGTCAATTTGCTATAACTAATTGACTTTGAATGAGTATCTGAGTGTTGTTTTCTGTAGCACAAAGATTGAATGAAAAAGTTTATCACTATGTGAGTTTCAAAATAGTATTTCACTTGACGGCTGAGAGTAAATTGAGGCCAAATGTACATTTATGGCATTACAGGCTCTAATATAAAAATCTAATAGTATTGATATTCAATCGCTTAAAGATAATTGTAGGCCAATTGATCTTCACCAAGTAATATGTTAGATAGTTCACATTTGAAGTAAGGTAGCTTTTTTTTTATTATTATTCCTTATTCCTAGATAAAGTTTGATTATTGTTTGAAGTCTTTTATGATCTGTATATCAAAATAAGTATATCTATCCAGGTGATGCAGTAAAAAGAGTACCTTGGGGAGTACCTGAATTACTGATTTTCAGAAACCATTTTGTATGACCTAAACTGCAACAAAACGTTGGGCTCACACATGCCTAGATTTCAACAGGATAGCAAACATTCCTGCAAAGTGTTTGCTACCATGTCGAAACCAGATTTTTTTCAAGTGTTCATGTCTATACTTTTCTGTGCATTATGAAATCTAAAGGAATTATTTTTTCTAGATTTTAGCCATGGTAGAAGAAGCTGCAGGCACAAGAATGTATGAAGTTAAAAGACAAGTTGCTCAAAAAACTATCGAGAAGAAAGATGCCAAATTACAGGAATTGAGAGCGGTAATTATATAAAAAATTTCAATTATTCTAACTCTGTGTTTATCTTCAATTATTCAACTCACCGCTTCTACAATTGTAATTTCATAAATTTCCACAAAAAAAACAATAGGAAAACTGTTTCCTGTCAACATTTTTTTAGTTCAACCTGAAATTCATATTCAAATGGGAATTGAGAATCAAATTTGTTGAAGGAAAATGCAGGCATACAAGAATGAACATCTCAAATGAAATTAACAATTTTGGTTTTGTGAAAATGTTTATCACATGGTACTAAACTTACATAAATGAAAACTTTGTATATTTGCAATTATGAATTGTGACTGAATATAATGTTTATTCAAAGTGTGATTCGCTAAAATGAAATGTGTTTGCAATTTGCTGATGACCTTTTTTTTTAGATTTTCTCGGAAGAAGTTGCTCCAAAATTGAAAAAGCTGAGGCAAGAGAGAGAACAGTACCTTGAATATCAGCAGGTCGATAGGGAATTAGAGAGGATGTTAGGTCTTTATCAATGTTGGCAATATGTCCAATCTAAAGTAATGGTAAAAAATGCGATGAAATGTTTGGAAGATGGTCTCAAAGATATTAAAAAGTTTGAATCTAATATCGAGGAAAATATTGAGACCATCAAAGAATTGGAAAGGCAAAATGAAAAAATTACCAGTAACCAGAAAAATGTGAGTATTACGTTACTGAAAGGAACTAGAACTTTCATTTGGATAACATTAACAGGAAAAATCCTACTAATATGGTGCTATACAACCAAAGACTTGTGTTTTATTCATTCAGATAAGTCGTTTACTTACCACATCAATAGAAAAACAACAATATGATCAACAGTGACCACAGCAAAAGTCAAACTATCAAGAAGTCAATTCTCATATACTTTGATGAAGTACTGATTTTAACGGTGATTAAATTTTCAAATTAAAATATTGAAATACATTCATCAATATGAATGCAAACAAAATAAATTGATGCATGTAGCTGTTACTACTTGCTAGGAGATTATCATGAAAAATGAGGATTAAAACTTTCTATGTTTCTATACCACCTTTTTGTATCTAACATTTTTGTAGTTTTGTCCTACAAGGACATTGTGTTCGTTTGAAAATGTCCGTGTAGGACGAAACTGCAGTAACGTTAATTTTTGTCATGTTCAATTTTTGTCACACATGGGAAATTTTGATTCACATTTTTCATGCTATCAAAACACTTTACTACTCATATTTCAAATTTAAATTAGAATATTGTGCTATAATTCAGAATCTGTTCTTTTGTCATATAGGTTGACTAAAAATCTAAAAAAAAAAATAAGTTTTTCCGTTAATCAGCTGTCGCCCCCATAAGAATGACAACTCTCAGAAGTTGAGAACCTTGTGCGAGCTAAGGACTAACGAGGTCTTACCTTTTAACGTGTGATGCCTAACATGGTTGCAGAATCATTCCAGCTTCAACCAGATAAATTATCTCGAGAAAAATATCTGGTCGAGGCGGGAATCGAACCCACGGTCTTCCGATCGTGAGTCGGGCGCACTACCACCGCGGCCAATTCCACAATCATACAGAAGAAGCTATCCGAAGATGGGGACCTGAAAAATAGAACAAACTTACCGATACAAGTAATCATGGAAT